TCTCTTTCTATTGCTCTTGTTTTTCTGTCTGTCTCTTATTTTGTCTTTGCTTGTACTTTTTTTACTTTGCGTTTGCGAAACACAAAGAAAAAAATCTAAAATGTATGCGAATTTGCAAGTTTTTGAGTTGTTTTAAATTCAATGCTCAGGCTGACGTTATTGACCGGAGGTGAAATTTCACCTCCTTAGCAACGCGCGCGAGCGCGCGCATGAATCGGTTAATGGGCCCTTAAGAGCTCGAGATTTCTATGAGGTGATAGTTGATGAGGCCGAAGGCCGAATCAACTATCACCTCATAGAAATCGAGACCGAATAATCTAATTGTTTTAATGAGATTCTTACTAAACTTCACTTCAGATAACGGTTTCCAATTATTTCTTAACGTATTATTAAACTTTGCGCCTGAAAAAGATCGCTCGGATTGAATTGTCATTTAAAATTGAAGTTGAGTGCGCGCGCGCTTCAGGTTTTTCGATAATTTGAACTTTTTTTAAAAGTCAAGAAACCGTAAATGTCCTTCGTTTAGACTTTCTCAGGAATTTAATTACCATTTGGATCAAAATTTTCCTCCAAAACTTGCGGAAACGAAAAAACGTCGCCATTTCGTAGGCGACTTCCAGCCACTGCACACTAATGGCTGATAGTGTTCAATGGCTCAGCCAATCAGATTACAGCATTTGCATTAGTATACTAGTAGATAGAAACACAGAACTAGCACGACCTGTTGACGTAATGATGGCGCGAGCAAAGAGAATTTACATTTTGATAATCAAAGTTAACAAGTTGTTTTCCTTTTATTCCTCGCGGTGTTTTCTAAAAGAAATAGAAAACATGTTCTCCGTGTTTTTATCGAGTTATAGAAACACTCGTGAAAGTTTGGGAGAACGAGAAATGCTGTGGGAATACTCGCCTGCGGCTCGTGTTCCCACATCATTTCTCGTTCTCTCAAACTTTCACGAGTGTTACATGTTTTCTATTTCAACACGGTACATGTTTTCTATTTCTTAAATATTTGATTTGGTGGTGGAATGTTCTAATTGCAAGCTTGTTGGACTGTGGATCGAGCGGAGGGGCGGGGCTACAAGTTCTGCTCAGGGTCATTGTGTTGTGTTCTTGGGCAAAACATTTCGCTCTTACAGAACCTTCAAATGTTAAATGTTGAGTTAGCTGACAAAATCATATTCGAGGCTAACCTGCAATGCACTGAGCATCTCTTTCAAGTTGGTGTAGCGATATGCCCTGTCGGGGCTTAACTGAAATATCTGAAGCATGAAGTCGTAGCGATGAACCAAATAACTTCTCTCATCACGATGATTGGAACTTTATTTGATGTTACGACATAAAATTCAACTGAGTCATTGTCGTCTCTAGGTTTTAACAGAGTTGTTGAAATTTCCAGTCGATAGATATCGGGTAAGTGTAGTTTAGAAAACAGCCGTACAGCATTTTTTTTGTGTGTGTTTTTTGTTATAAATGCCTTTCAGTGGTCAACGATAACGCATTCGCTAGTATTGTTTTCGATGTTTGTGTTGTGAATGTGTATTCTTACAATGCATTGCGGTCATAGTCAAAAGAACACCCGCCGACTTGCCAGTGAGATCCATCAGTAGGTTTTCTGATCTGCCTCAGAAGTTTCGGAGATTTGCGGAAGTTTTCGGCACGAAATACCACGAAGTTGATCGGAACCGTTTGGATGACTTTCGTAAACTTCTCGGGAAATTTGCAGTCGATCTTCCTAAAAATTGCCCGTCACTTGTTTGGAGCGTGATATTTCAGATGTATGTAAAAACTGCAGAAATTTATGTTATGTCAAACTGATCCGCGACTATGAACCTCGGTTTGTTTAACGAAGTGTTAGTGCTATATGTTTATATTTGATTAATTTCAGCTTGAGATTCAAGAGGCAATGAGAAGTCGCAACCCAGATCTGTGTCGAAGATTACGCAAGGTTATTGTTTTTCGTTTGAGTTTCCCTTGTTCTTGTGATTCTTCTGTGACAATTTTTACTTGTAACGTCTCTAAATTGGAAAAACAAAAATTATCATGCATGTAGCATGTTCGAGGATTCTTTTCTTGATGGAGGAAAGCACATGACACAGTCACTAAAACATGGACACTCTTCATAAATGAAATCAGCAAGTCAAACTTAAAACTGCGGTGTAAACACAGGCTTATCTCAAAATTTAGCAATATATAAAAGTAGATATAGGTTTCTAATAGTTAACGACACTGATCATTCAAAGTCAAAAAAATTGTTCTGCACGGATAAATTTAAAACATGCATTGTCTCAGACAGTCCTTTTCCTGTTCCGATATTGTTTTGAGGCTGAATAGCTGGGAAGAAGAAGATTTTGCTCTTAATTTGGTCTGTTTACAGAAAACGGAGCAATTTCAAAGAAACCTTGCTTTGACCTCTGGGTTGACGGATTTACAGTTCTCTCCCGACATTCCAAGACCACGTGTTGTTCGCGTGATTCAGCCAACTTCCAGGGATGCGTCCGAAATGATTCGCGACGTCAATGCACAGTTTTAGTGACAAAAAAGAGATTTCTTTAACAATCGTTCTTGGGGAAAACACTACCATATACTTG